TCCAACAGGCAGACCTACATTGTTAAATCTAATTCGAATTCGTTCTGATTACAAATACACGTGTCTTCGATGAATATTCGAATATTTAGAGACATTGCATACGAAATGACAAGGTTAATTTTCCCGTTTCATCGCTTCGCAGGAGAGAAAGGAAAGTCGAATAAAAATGGATCAATTGTTCGTACTGGCAATTTTTGGCAACTCCTTTTATTTTTATAAGATATATAAATAACAATGAGGAAAAGTGAAAATAAATTAAATCTTTCATCATTCTGATTGTTCGCCCCAATTCGGAAAAGTCTGTTGACAGAAGTGGTAAAATCGGATAAAAATACGCCATCAATAATGTGAATAATTCACAATTTTTCTATCTATTCTAATTACTTTAAATCGCATGAATTTTTTTAAATTTGAAAAAGGTACAGTAATTTCAAATAAACATACTCATCTCTGCATTTTCTGTAACTTACCTTGTTAAATTACAATGGGTAGAAAACATGTTCCCACCTGTGATTTGTGACTATACAATGGACAAGGCCTACGTAAGGTCGGTCAGAAAGAATGCCTGTCAATCAAGTTTGCTGTCAAAAACATAATTGTGATTTGAAATTTAATGATAGGCAAATCACAATTGTGCAAAAACTACTAAGCTTATTGTCAAATTCTTGTCAAAAGTAGTCTTCCTGGCCGGCCTTATGTAGGCTTTGACAATGGATTTGTAAATACACATTTTGACAATGAAATGTTGTAAATTAATAAAAAAAGAATTAAACATATGATTGTATGACTTAACCTATTTCAATATTTTAATGCTTCATAATTGTTTAATTATATACTTGTGTTTTTGAATTTATATTGAAAATGTGAAGAAATGAAATAAGTGCACAATAAAACGTCCAACGCATTTATACGTATATTAAAAAGTGCCTCTTCTATTTTCGCATGGCAAAATTGCATCCAATAAGAAACCAAAAAGAAAAATCGCAGCCTTTTTAGTTGGAAATGATTGGGATTAGTGAAGATTCTGATATCACAAGTGATATTTGGGGGCCATATCAAACAGTGCATTTATATTCTCTAAGAACCTGAAATGTTATGCCTTGTTTACGTTTGGACTTTTTGTAGGGTTAACCTACTTTAAGAGGATTTATTTGAAGTATAAATAATGGATATGACAATTATAATCCAAATCCAGTGGGTTAACCCATTTATATGTAAACGTACTGTTAAAATACTCATTTCATTGGAACATTTTTCTAAGCATTAAAATACTTAAAATCTGCAGTCACAGATATATTGGAACCATGTCTAGAAGCATGGTAGAACTAAGAAGGTAGTCATGTAATCATATGTTTAATTTGACAACATCTCATTGTCAAAATCTACATATATTCTTAAAAATAAATGTGTGTATACACAAAATAAGAGATGGAAACTGTTTTTATGCATTGAAATTTGACAAAGTAAATAACAGACAGAACAGAGCTTGAAATGCTAATTTGAAATGAGGTTACCTTTATTTCATTGTACCATGGCCTAAAAGGAAAGCATTACAGCGACATATACAGGAAAAATTTTAATTTGCTTGAAAAAAAAATGTATAATATGTTAAACTAATGTATGAATCCTATGATTGTAGTCATAAAGGAGTAGTTAAGTTGTGCAGTCCTCATTATGGTTATTCATAATGTGGACAATAACAAACACAACATTGCAACATTGTTTCTGACATTTTTGTGTGTATTTTTCGTTACAAAAACAAAAAAAAGGGGAAAAGCTTTGTTGGTTTGCCACTGACAGAAAAGAACATATACTACAAAAACCCAAAATATATTTTCTTCCGCCAAATTTCCAAAAGGAAAAAATACTTTTACAGGCTGTTAACTATAGTACAATAAAGAAGTAGAACGGCTTCGTAAAACTACAGAAATACAGTCCTGAGGCTATGCCCGCTTCCTGTCAGAAGCCAGCCGATGACTTATGCCAGTCAAAAAAGCTCTTTATGTACTTCCACCTTTAGATTTAGTTTTGTAGAATAACCCCAACATTCCATTTTTGTTTTGTTGTTGTTCCCCAATGTGAGAAAAAACAATTGTTGCATTTTTAAAAGTCTATTTAACACTATAGATTCATGGTAGCAGCAACACCAACTTCTATAATACTACTGAAAGATATCCTATCAACAATCTTTCCTAATAATAAAAACGTTAATTTTCAACAAATTATTTTAGTTTCAAAAATGTAAATTTTTATAATTTGGATTATTATATTTAAAATGCAGAAGAATGGTTCTTAATATATATTTAATTTTAATGCTTTCATATCATCCCCCTGAATTTTTAGAGTTTAGCTGCAGGTCCACATCACTCAACACTTCAAGCAATCGCTAGACAATCGTGAAATAAGTAACATCCCTTTCAAATTGAAACCAAACTACATATATACACTGGTGGCCAAAACTAAAGCAACTGAAATTACAAGAAGAATGAATGCCCTGTAACTTTTTCAAAAATTAAGAAAATGAGAAAGTTTTTCTTGTTTTACATTAGGTATTTTATTCACTTTTTAAAAACCTAAAACATAAAACCAAAATTCATTTTTATATAAAAAATAATGTTTGGTAAAGTCAATCAACCCGTTTTTGGCTTGGACAAAACTAAAGCAACTGTTGTACATTCATATAACTGCTGCAATTTCAGTTGTTTTTACTGTGATATTTATCGCTTTTTGCTTCCTTTGACAATATCGCTTGTCATAAATCCTTTTTGAGAAGTTTTTTACAACAGCATGTGTTTTTCTTTTCGTTTTTTAAGTACTGGCCAAAAAAAGTTTAAAAATGGCTAGAAGCAAATACAGTACCTGAATAAAACAGCAAATTATCAGTGACTATCAAAACAACATATCACAGAAAATGATATTTCATAAATATTTATGTGATTTCATAATTATTTCTGTATACTAAGTTGGTTTTATGAAACTGGATCAGTAGTAACAGTCTATTACGGATGAAGGCCGTGAAAAACTTCAGCCCGTACTGATCCACAAATTGTGAGAGAAATAAAAAACAACTATATAAGAGTTCAACTGGATTGGTGAGAGAGCAATCATTGGATATAAGCTCGAGATCAGTGCGTAGACGAGTAGTGGCAGCTGGTCTGCATGCCCGTAAGACATCAAAAAACCATTTATATCTGAAAACATCAAAAAGGCTTTCGGAAACGATAATATTAAGTGGAATCAAGCTCAATGGAAAAAAAATATTATTTCTGGGATGAGTCTACGTTTAATATTAAAGGCTCAGACGTGAAAAATTTTACGGTGAGAAGACCAAAAAATGAAGTACTCAAGCCGCAGTGTTGCAAAGGTACAGTGAAGCATGAGGGAGGGTCAAAAATGGCGTGGCGCTTTTTTTTTTCTATGGACTTGGGCCTATCCATAAATTAAAGGAAGTTGTGGATCGGTTTGTTTACAAAGATGTGTTGGACATCACGTTGTTCCCTTACGCTGAGTAAAATATTTGGCTGATTTGGGTGTTTCAGCATGACAATGATCCCAAACTTGTATCAAAACTTGTCAAATATTGGTTGCGGAAGTCAAAAATTCATCTTTTGTTATGGCCGGCACAATCACCAGACCTAAACTCCTTAGAAAACCTTTGGAGTATCGTAGATAGAAAGATCAAGAGAGATTCGGAAATAAATAAGCACAACATTTTCTAAAGAATTCGGGGTGCCTGTGAAAGCACACCCAAGGATCAAATTGAGCGTGTTATAGATTCAATGCCTCGTAGGTGTGCAGCTGCTATCAAAAATAATGGTTATGCTATCGACTACTACCCAAAATTTAATTATTTAAAAATAAAAAATCAAAAGTTGCTTTAGTTTTGACCAGGCAAAAATTGGGTCATTTTAGTTTTCCACATATTATTCTTCGTTCAAAATTATTTTTGTATTTTTATTTTTAGTTTCTTAAAAGTGAATTAAACCCCTCATTTAAAACTGGAAAAATAATTACGATTTGTTTATTTTTGTAAAAGTTACAGGACATTTATTGTCTTTGCGATTTAAGTTGCTTTAGTTTTGGCCACCAGTGTATATAAAGTATTACACATTTCCATTCATCTAATGACCGCACAACAGCATTCATGAATTCGTACTTGTAACTCGTTGTGCAACTGGTCCAATAAATGAGTTTGAGTAAATGCAACCACTGCAGTTGTGTGTTATATCGTTGTGCTCTTTGTTGACGAAGATTGTATTTATTCGTCCCATAACACTGTCTCAATCGAACCAACAACATTTAACAAACAGGAGAGAACAGCGGTATGAGTTCGATGAGTCAGTTTTGTGATGAACTATTGTGCATTCGCTTGTTATTGCTTTGAAGGTGTCGTCACGTGCTATTAGATTCTTTTTAGATATTTTAATTTCATCATGGAGGTACGTTTTTTATCATCTTAAATTTTAAAAATTAGAGTCTGATTTAAAATTACTGTTTAGGATATTGGGTATTTTTGTGAACCTTCCACATCTGCTGAACGTAACGAAAATTCAAAAATAAAAGACAACATTTTAAAAGAAGAGGAAAAATTAATTTTTTAAAGTGGTAAAAGCAAGATATGGGAGATTTTTGGAAGAATTGATGGAAAAGGTTGCGACATGCAAAATTTGTAATAGTGTTTGAAAATACGTTAACAGTCCCAACATACCAAATTGACTTGAGAATAATATTTTAACAAGCTTACAAACATAAGCCTTAAGCTTGAGAAAATCTTGAGAATGTATTGAGAAATGCTTGTTTAACAATTATAGAATAATCGAAACGGAACCCTTATTTATAAGCTGATTCTTGTAATTGCAGAATAAGCTTACGAAAGTAATATTATATTAAGCTTGCTAGTGCAATTGTAGAATAAGCTTACAAAACTAATATTTTCGTAAGCTTATGTATTTATAAAAAATCGTACATATTTTTCAAAACTTATTACTTCATTTTTATTAATTTAGTTGTGTTTTAAATTAAGATAATTAGTACAACTAATTTTAGTGAAAGTTATAATATAATTGTTTTTTTTTTTTTTTAAATTTAGATTTTATTTTTTTGTTTTTGTATTCGTTTCGCAGCTTTATACGATTTTTAGCGAATTGAAAGAAAGTGCGCGTGTCTTTAATGAATGTGTCCTCCGTGTAGCCCAATGATAGAGTTGCATCTATGAAATATAGAAATTAAGAGTTTTTTCGGATACTATTGTTAAATAGATACACTTCGTATTGCTTTTGTTGTACTAAAATTGCGAACACTTCTCTTTGTCTCCGTTCGTTTCCAGCGGAGTCGTTCTCCCAATTCATCTGTTATTATTTTTTCCAGCAATTCTTTACGAAATTTGGTGCCTTGGCAACAAGTTTCAGTTCGCTTTCCTGAAATTAAGGAAAACATAGTGATATTATTATTTTTGTTTTAATTGGTATTTTTGAACTAAATCATTTCCTGAAAAAATTTTCGAATGAAACTTACAAAAGAAATAAATGCTTTGTTTATTTCTTGGAGTCCTTTTTCGAATTCGAGAAACTATATCCAATATCCTTGAATGGAACGGATGGCATTGCTCCTGCAACTCCTTACGCAAGCTTTGCACTTCGCTTGTTAGCCTAATGAACATAGGCTGAATTGCACTTATTACTTGGTTAGCTATATATAAAATTAAAATAACATTTTATCATATTTATGAAGAAATTTTAAATCATGATTTGTTATTAGGGTATGGTAATTTTCATTTATTGGCGGGGCTCCCATGTTAACATTTTTCTGGCTAAAGAATAGTTTTGTGAAGTCTTCAGGCATTGTGAATTAGCGGAAGAAAGACAGTTTTGCTGTTTTGAGAGAAAGAAACCATTTTAACAAACTCATGTAAAATGAGAATGATAAATCCGTTGTCTCCCATATATTGAATAGAGAGGAATTAAGTGGATAGAAAAATAATGGTTCCAAAAACAATACTTTTGATCCAAACACTTTCTGCGTTCCTGTTGTTCCAATTGATGAAACTTTAAAAACATGTTGTCCAACGCTATAATAGTTGTTAGGCGCAAAAATTGATAAGTATATGTTTTCATTCTGAACAAAAGTATTTGAACTTCTTTCCACTTTTGCATGTTCTTCAGAATGTGAACTGTTTATACTTTGTTAAAACCAATCGATTATATAACTGCACGGATTCGTGGTTTTTCTTTTTAAGAAGTCGTTTTAATTTTCCTAATTTGTTTTCAAACTTAAAGGCCCTTATATTTTCTAGCGATCCATATAATATAGCATCACTTGCTAGATGTGTAAGACAGTGGAAGTTGTATGTTACTGTAGCTTCATTTTAATTCACTGGGACATTCATTACAAAATTGGTTAGCAGAGCTTGTGCGCACTCATTGCATGTTTTACATTTGCTTTCATCTAATAATATGCGCAAAGCCAAGCTTAGTTGCATACAATGAGTATAACGATTTTCATCCAATATATTTTTTAATATAAAAGGTCCAGTATATAGAAGGAATTGCCGAAATTCTATGGCCTTGTACGCTCAAATTCCTTTAAACCTCGTGGTGCTCTACAAAATTCCCTCGGAGTTTGACTTTTAAGCTTCTGCAGCTGATCATAAAACACTTCGATTTGTACTGGAGATAGCGAAAACGAACAATTTCTTTCCGGATCCAAGACTTCATTAATGACTTTACTACTCCAAGACAAACTACGTGCATGTAATCTAATGGAAAGGCTTGAACTATGTCTATTGGGAACTGTTCTATTGCCATTTGGGTGTTTGTGTTATGATGATTTGCACAGTGACGTGTTCTGAAATTTTCATCTGTTCGAAAATTACTATTTCCTTGTGTAAACACCATGCGCTTCCGAACGTATTTCCCAGTTTGTGTGCATTGTGGCAGGAATTATAACTATGGCTTTTTATACCCAAAACTAGGGATCTTGCTGGTGAATCGCATATAAATGACCGGCATCTAACTTTATAACTTTTGCCTTTGAATGAGAAATTTGAACTCATAACTTTATTAAGTTCTTTAACGAATGGTGTTAGGAACTCGTTGACGTCTTTTGGCTTACTGTTTCCAGAAAAAACACCGATTGTATAAACAGGATTTGTACCGTTTACGTTTAGGCCAAACTTGCGCCAATGAACTTTTTGAAATTGGAAGACCGTCAATATTAAAATTTAATTCAATAGTGTCGCAATCGTATTTAGCGTTTGAAAAAAAATCGGTCAAGCAGTCCTCCAGTCCATAGTGCACATATTCACCTCCTGCAATTGACACAACTGGAGCATCTCTTGGGTTTTTTTTTAATGATCTGGCATCTTTTGGTAGGCTTGGTATCATCCTCCTTATAATTGTTAAAAGTTCATTCAATGCAGAGTTCGAAATTAAATGTTTCACACTCCACTTAGCTAACTCATCTTGAATATTAAGTTTTTCAATTGTAGAAATAATTGGAGCTTCGTCGCTTTCATGTTCACTCTCACTTTCATTTTCACATTGCACAGGAACTGGATCGCTATTTATTACACTAGTTTCCAAACGTTCTTTTGATACATTTTTTTTTTGTGTTAATTATCACTAAAAAGAAGAATTTCAACGACAACTTTTGCTTGTCTTCTAACATTTTTTTTATACTTATAAGGCATTTTTAAAATATTACCAATTAATTTTTACAAAACACAGCGAATAACTTTTTTTTTACATTAAAATTAATCAATAAATGCAAAACAAATTGTTTTCATCAAATAAATTTGTCTACAAATACAATGCCTACTCAATACGAAATGATTGTGTGTTCAAAAAATGTTCAGACAGACTTGCGAAACCTTTGTACAAATAAGCATTTCTAAAGTAATGTTAAAAATTTGTTGTGATATTTCTTTTTAATAATGTTATTCTCAAGTTGTGTTGTAATTTGATTTGGTACTTCTAACCTTGTGAAGTATAAATGTTTTGAGAATTTTAAGGAGACTTTAGAAAACAAACCCAAAATTGATGTAGATAATGACACAAAAAAGGAAGTAATCTGAATAATTGAATGGAATAATTACTGAATGGACCATAACAAATTGCCTATCATTCAAGATGATCAAAGACGATGGGTCAAAAAAATTAACCGAACTTTTGCTAGCGATTGGTGCTAAATATGGATCAAATGTGGATGTAGATAAGCTTTTACCTCACTCAATTACAATATCTAGGAATATCGACAAACTATATAATATCACCTACTATTCCATTAAAGCAGAAATACAAGAAGTGGGTGCCAAAGTATATGGCCTTCGTTCGGACCTTTGGACTGACAGTTATCTGCCATATTTAGCATTAACTATATATTTCATAATAAATTAAAAGTTTATTGCTAGCATTTAAATCCATGGATATGGAGCCTTCCACTAGTAAGTATCCCCATATTCCTAATATGATTTACATTGTCTTCACATGATTCGTCATAAAGTGAATGCTACCTTAAGACAGGTCGGCTGTAGTCTTGATTGAGCAATCATTGTCACAGACAGAGGTTTTAATATGGTAGCTGCATTTAGATCAAATCCTGGTACAATAAGGAGGTAGAACAGCTTCGTAAAACTACAAAAATACAGCCCTGAGGCTATGACCGCTTCCTGTTAGACTCATTCAAAATTATTGTTTTCATTTTTTTCCTCATTTTTAAAATAAGTTAAATTGCGCGAAAAATGAATAAAATGTCTGGATTTTTCTCTCAAAAACTGTTCAATCTTCCAATTTAATGGCTATACTGTCTTCCAAACATTGGTTTTGAATTTTTTTTCTCATTTTTCAAAACAATTAATATGTACACAAAATTGGCAGAAGTCGGGCACACTTTGAAAAAAATTGTAATCAACTGTTAGCTTTACCTTACCTTTTTATTGTACCATTTGTCAAATGATCATATATATTGTATTAATCATTTAATACACAACATAGTCGAGAAATCCATCAATGAAAGCGATGACATAGAAGAGTTATGCACAAAGAGCATAAAGCTTGTGAAATACTTTAAAGTATCCGGTGCCAATGTAAAATTAAACACATCTCTGAAAAGTTTTAAAGCGAATATGTAAAATATAAAATGAGGATTTTGATTGCATAAAACGTTAAAAGAAAACTTAGGAAGTTGTTAGACGATGTAGTTATGAAGAACGCTAGCATTTTCCATAAAATTGCATTCTTTCTTTTTCCACCAACGAATAGTCTTTCGCAGTTTAGAAATAAACAAATAGCAGACATAAAGGTAAACTGCAAAAGAATTATGTAAGACTTTATAAACGATCTAGATTCGGATTAAACTGAACATTCAGAATCTCTTGCAAGAGATAAGGAGCTTCTGTTTTCAGGGTTTCTTCAGCCTTTAAATGCAACGAATAATGCAGACAAAGTACAAAACGTGCTAACTTTTTACGAAGTGGAATTTAATAAATTAAAATATTGGCAAGTATCCAGCAAGTAGCGCATCATCTGAAAGAATATTTTGTTATGTTAACCGTGTTTAATATAAAGGTCCGGCGCGAAAGCGCGGACTTAAAGATCGTCGTGATTCTAGTCGATCACAATTATCGCTTGTTCCGTTTTGTTCATATTTCATCTTTTTTTTTTTTGGCTGGTATGGTAGCGCCCGACCACAAACGTCAAACTGAATGCCGCCAAATACACATTAGGTTTCATTTTTAACAATCACTGGCAGCGACAAGATCTCAATTTTAATTTTGAGAAAACAAATTTGTAACAAGTGGAGCGGCGCATTTCTATGCAATAATTTTATTGCTTAGGACCTGCAAAACAATTCCAATTGGGAATTAATACGAAGGCCGAGCGGTAAATCGTATAATTAGAGGTGAGTTTGTGTAGCCGTGCAAGTGTTTGGAACAAAAGAAAAAAACCAAAGAATTTTCTTTGCAAATTTTCTAGATCTCTTTGGAACCTTCTGCGACTGTATGGGGCTGTACCATCGAACACGCGGTAAATGTACCGTTATCAACCAACGTGCTGCATCTCAATAGGAATTTCTCCCTTTGTGTGCTAATTATTGTTTTTTTTTTTTTTTTTTTTTTTTTTGGTACAGTATATGGCAACCGAACCACACATCGTTTAGGAATTTTCTTGTGTTATACAATCCAATTGGCAATGCAATTTAACTGCATGCTATTTTATTGCACAGAACCATAGACCTTTTGGGATTTTAGTGCATACGTCACTATAACCCCCACGGAGAATAGCCCTCAGGATTTTAGCCAGTGAATATCACCAACACCCAGCGAAGAGAGCATCAATAAATTTCATAATGGTCAGCAATACCACACAGTCATCTCTGTTCCAAAATGTCACCGTCCATCAGAAGCACTTTCAACGTCTTTCGCCATCACCACATAGCCATAACCATCTCAACCATTATCCATCTGAGTACGTCACCATAGTTTCATCATAGGCAAACCAACCCATAGCAAATGTGTTATCACGGATGTGGATCGGCAGTAAAAATAGTATCGAAGTAAGCAAGGTGAAATATAACAGCAGCGCAGTAAGTAACCAGATCCGTGTTACGCCAAGCCGTGAACCATAAGAATTAAGCCCACCGAGTATAGTCAGAACCGTGTCCAAGTACAGTACGACTGCTTAAGCGTTCACACACGTGTCCTAGGTTCTTATATCTCCCGGTCACATGTCCAGAGGTATTGGTTAGCCGATATGAGAAAATTAGTTTTTGGTCGTGAAATCAAGAATTATTACCGTCTTTGTTAATAAGTGATATAAATGTTTTCCGATAGTGCAGACATACACACGTGCAACATACCCTACGACACCTTCCTGGTTTCAGATAACTTTTAACGGTACATCAAGCCATGTGGCCTCCTTCTAATTTTTAATGAAAAAGGAACCAGGAACCAATCGAACCGGATATTCCAGCCCTCTTGGACGCTTGTGGAATCCATCAATTATACAGTCCATTACACCTGCATTACAAGGTACGTATAGTGCAGTGATTTTAAGTGAGCTCGCGTTATTAAATTGTCGCGACAATAACAAAACATTCGGTTTTGTTCAGGTCCAAAGGTCGTTTTACAACGTCACATCTTTCTTTTGTCTTTTGTTTCCCGCCAATCGTCGGCTTCTAATTTGGATGCTTGCATTCGGCAGCATTGTTATTGTTACATTTATTCTTTTCTCTTGTTGTAACAACAGTTACATTTCAAATCGCAAACAGCAACAACACTGTTTAAACCCCCACCGCTGTTTGCTTGCTTTGTCGTCGTTCTCTGATCAGCACTAGTTGTTTGTGCTTTGTTAGATCAGTAAACGAACATAACAAACGAAGGAAGAATATTTTTCTTGATTCCTCTTTCTGTCGTGTCCGTTTAGGTTGAGTAGCTACACTACGTGGGTCGGTCACTTTTGTTAGTTACATTGTTTGTTATAGGACATTGGAAAGTTAAAACTAAAATAAAATAGTATAGTTAATTTTATTTTTTGTTGTTGTTTTGGAAATTTAAAAATTAATACAATCTATAGACGGTAATTCTGGCAAATTAAATAAATAAAAATAAAATAGTTATTTTATTTATTTTTGTGTTTTTCCCCAAATTGATTCAGTGTTTTTTGCGATAATTATGGCCTTCGCTCCTCTACAAAATTTCATAAGAGACTCAGACGCTTTGATAGAATTTGGTGCACAAATCGGTGCAGTAAAAGATGATGGTATAGATATTAGTTTTTTAGAGGAAAGGAAGAGCAAGTTAGAAAAACTACGGCAATCGGTAAATAAATCATTGCGTCTCTTAGAAAATTCGGAAAATGTAACAAAAGAACATCTGCATTTGGCAGAAAATAAACACATTGCTTCTTTAAACATTTATTCAAGCACTATGGCCACAATTAATAGAAAAATTATAAAAACTCGTTGTGTATTAAAAAATTTGATTAAAAACGCGGATAAAAGTCAAGAGCAATCGGCTCAATATCTTTTGGTTCCTGAATTGCAGGAAAACATTGCCGCAAGTATTTCTTCTGGTTGTGATATCGTTCACAATATGGCACTGCCCCCTATTGATATTGATATTTTTGAGGGAGATTTTTCTTCTTGGCCTTCCTTTCGGGATTTGTTTAGCGCCATTTATATAAATAACTCTCGCTTAAGTGATGTGCAGCGCCTGTATTACTTGCTGCAAAAGACTGCTGGTAATGCAAGGGAAATTGTTTCGCAGTTTCCTTTAACTAATCGTGGTTTTGCTTTCGCATGGGAAGCATTAAATGATGAATACAACAATATTCGATTATTGGTTCATCATCAACTAAAGTCGTTGCATAATCTTCCGATTCTTGAGAAAGAAACTGCAGTGGGTCTTAAGGAGATCCGACGGGGAATTAATAGTTGCATTTTTTCTATGTCGACCTATAACGTTCCCACAGATCAATGGGATCCGATACTTGTCTTTCTTTGCCTGCAACGCTTGCCGGAAGAAACGACAATGCTATGGGAACAAGGTATTAAAAACAAATCGGCTCTTTCTCCATGGAAAGATTTAGACACCTTCTTTCAGAAAGGATTAACACGCTCGTGTGTTTGGAAGGTTATAGAGAGAAATCCATTCCTTTGCAGGATTCAAATTCGCTTGACACCGCCAGAAAGTCCAAATCTAAATGTTCGTCTCCCCCTTCTATTGGAAAATCGTGTCGTCTTTGTCATAAGAATACCCATCGCCTTCAATTGTGCTCAACATTTATGGAATTATCTCCCGCAAAAAGGTTTGCATTCGTCAAGCGCCACGAAGAT